AGCATAGTCGGATTAAAATCTACAATTCGATGGAGGGTTCGTGTTATTCAAGTTTATGTCGCAACCCCTCCTGAGAGAACCGGTAGGGTTTCTACCATTACTATCACGATGAGATATGTAAAGTAATGGATGCTGCGTCTAGACCTGGGATCACAACCCTATGTATTTAGTAAGTGCGGGCCTCTTATGTGCAGAAACCCAGTAATTTATTAATTGGCCCAATTAATAAATTACTGGGTTTCTGCACATAAGAGGCCCGCACTTACTAAATACATCTAAGCCCAATAAATTAATAAATAACTTAATATAGACTTAATCTGACTCATAACTTAAATAGTTACATTTAACCAATAATTGAATTTTTAATCCAACATATATTATTTACAAAATTATTTATACTTCACATAATAAAATATTTCTCTAAATAATTTCACTAAACAAACACACCCGCAAAGTTTATCAGAAATTTACTAAAAAAATGATTGTGATGCGGTAAAATAAAAAAGATAATAACAAATTAAATATTATTTGTTAAATTATGAATAATAAAATTATGAACAAATAAAGTTATTTACTATATTAATTGTACATAATTTTAACGTACAAAAAAAAAAAAAAAGAGCTTGACTGTCCCGAAAATCAACTATGCCGATATTATATTTAACCAAATTCAGAGTTAGGTCTAACACGCGATGAAATAATTTTGTTCTAAAAGTGTAATCTACTGGACGTTCAGATAACGAGTGTGTAAACAGAGAAATACAGAAGTTTATTTACTTAGATCGATCAAATAAAGATCTAAGTTTGGGGGGTTTCAACCTAGGGTCCAACCAACTAGAAATTAGTCGAATTATACACCTCAATACATCACAATCATAATCTCCCAATGATCTCTGTCAAGACAACAAACATACAAGTATTCCCAACTTCGTATGATGTAAGTTTCTTTGCAAAGAACACTCACCAGCTGCAACCAGTGTTTCTTAAATCACAACCAGAGAATCCCAAAGGTAATGACCAAACTAGTCTTCAAGCCTCTTGTATAGTTCTATTCTGTCTGTGTAATATGTTCTCTAACCGGATCACGAACTCTGTATCTGTATTCAATCTCTGTCTTGCTCACATAACGTATCTGGTATCACGAAATAATTTTCTAAAAATTTTAACCAAATTATCGCAGCTCTCTCTATTTTTCATGTAAAAGTTCTTGAAGAATTTTCTCTCTAATCCACTCTACAAAACTTTCCTTTTTTTATTTTTTTTCAATTAACCTCTGATTAGCTCTCACTGTAGTCCATTTTGTCATTCCAATTGAAAATGTTTTCCGAGTTGATATTTTGCTCATTTTTATTTTGATTTTTTATTTTAATTTAAATAGTATTTTGATATGATATTTTATATCCATTAAATATAGATTATCTGAGTTTGAAATTCAAGCCAAACACACTCATTACATTCTAACTATTACTCCCTCCGTCCCACTTAAATTGTCTCATTTTAATTAGGTACGAAGTTTTAGGTACTGCGTAATTAGTAAATAATTAAGAAATATTTTAGCAAAAATAATTATGATTTAATAAAAATAATTTAGATTAAGATTAAGATGACTAAATAGTTTAATTAAAATAAAAAATTACAAGTTTGGAATTTTAAAATTTTATATTTCCAAAAAACAAAGTAACAAATTATGTGAGATAGACAAAAATAAAAAGAGTAGACAAATTAAGTGAGACGAAAAGAGTATTAAAATAAATAAATAAAATAAAATAAATACATCATCTATAGTCTCAATAAACATTTATCACTTTTCTTTTTTTTTTTTTCTTTATTATAAAAGAAAAGAAATTCTATTTTTACCTATTTTATTTAAAAAAAATTCATGCATGATCGTATATAGACTTAAATATGTATTATTTTACTATTTTGAATTTACAAGCTTTATATATATATAAATATACTTTTTAAAATCATATACTGTTTATTTATAATAAAATTTTAAATATATCATATTAAATATTAATATATTCGTAATTTAAATAATTTTAAAAATTTTAAATATTATATTCAATATATTTACATGATTGTTTAATCATTTAAAATAGAAATTTACATTAGTACCGTTTATTGTTATGTTTATTACTGTATCACTCCCAGACTAATTGATTTGTTTTTTTTAGTTTGTTCCATCTTAATTTATATATTTATATTTTAATAATTTATACTCTTTTATAAGTTATTTCATATATACAAAGATAATTTAATTAATTTTATAATATATTACACTAAAAAATCATATTTATATCTATTTTCAATAAACAATATTTTTATTTATATTTAAAAACTTTTATTTTTTTATAAAATTAATATATATTAATTATTTTTATTATATAAAATTGTATTTTTTACAAAATAATATTCTCCCCGTCCCGCTGCTGATGAGTCAATTTCCTTTTTGGTACGTCACGTAAAAAATGACCTCTTTCTATTTTTGGCAAGTTTATCAATCTTAAACATACTTAACAAATATAAATCAATTTAATTAAACTTATAACCTCTTATACGTAGGATCTACTCAAAACTCCTTTATTTTTATATCACTCCTCAATTAACAAATATTTTTATTTACCTTTAAAACTTCTCATTTTTTATAAAACTAATTTATGGTAATGATAAATAAATAAATATACCTTTTTATTATTTGTATTATATAAAATTTTATTATCTACAGAATGATATTTATATTGCATATATTTTATTGAGATATAATTCTAAAAATATTTAAAATATCAACAACATTACATATATAAAAAATAATAAAATATTATATTAACTTATTATTAATAACTTAATAACCTACGCTACCTAAAATATCGTGTTCCTAATAAAAAGTTCCTATCTCTCGCGGGACAGAGGGAGTATTATATTTTAATTTTTTAAATCATATATATAAAATTTTATTTTAAAAAAAACTAATAATATTACTGACATCGAAAATAATAAAATAATACTTCCTTCGTCCCTTAATAATATATCCATCTTTCTATTTTAGTCTGTCTCGCGCCAAAGTATCAATTTTATTTTTTTTAGTAACTGTATTTTCTATAAACATTAAAAATATCCTTACAATTTAGAATATATTACACAAATGTCATTACCTTTGTATCACACAATACTAATAAAGTTATTTTAGTATTTTCTATTTTATTCATACAACGTTCCAATATAATACTAATATTTCTAAAATTCCGTGAAAAAAAAATACAGATACATAAATAAGAGATAAAGGAAGCATTATATCTCATTATTATTAACTTATTAAATTGTATTATCTTAAATATCGTATTATTAACCAAATGTGTCAATTAAAATGATTCGAAATAATATTTTTTTTTTATTTTTTTATTTTTGCCTTGAATCTTGCATTAAAATAGTGTATATCCCATTGGTTTTTGCTCCAATAATTTTGTATATACACATGGCACTCTCCATGTGCTGATGTTCATCTCAATTAGTGAAGTTCATTTAAATAGGATATTGATTTTCTTAATACTATCTTATAATTAGATATTCATTTATTTTTTTACGTAATTTTAAAAATATTAGTATTATATTAGAATATTGTAAGAATAAAATAAAAATAACTAAAGTAACCTTATTAGTATGTGTGATATAAATGTAATGATATTTGTGTAATATATTGTAAGTTGTAAAGGTATTTGTAATGCTAGGTAGATAATACAGTTACTAAAAAAGAAATTGATACTTTGTTATGAAACGGACTAAAATAGAAAAATAGATATTTTGTTATAATACAGAAGTATTATATTTTAAATAAAAAAAAAATATATATATTTAATTAAATGATTTTGAAATAGGAGAAATTTCATAATAATAACTAGGTCTTCTAAAACATAGTAGTTTGTTTGGGAATGATTTGCAGTGTTAAATAATAAAATTTTAATTCATATCATTACTTAGATCCAGTATACATTAATGTGATATTTTTAATATAAAATTAATTTTTAATTATAATATAAAAATAAAAAAATAATTATTTGATTTGATATATATATATATTTTTAAAAAAACTATTGTACAAACAAACAAACAATTTAGGTTTTGATATATAAATTATATAAATGAAAATTAATAGTATTAAATTTGAATAGAAGCATTAATTTGTTGCGTAAAATATTAAATAATTAGGAGAGGTATAATTTAAGTAAATAATTAAAAATATATTAATAAAAATAATTATAGATTAAAGTTAAAATATTTAATTATCTTAATTAAAATTTTTAAAATATTTTAAATTAAATAATTTAAAATTAAAATAAAGTGTATAATTCTTTTTTTAAAAAATAAAAATAACAAAATAAGTGAGACGAATATAAATAAAAAAGTGGCATGGTAAGTAGGACGAAGGGAGTATTACTTAAACATTTTCTATCATTTTATTATTAATTAATTTTAATTCAATAAATAATTATTAATACCTTTTTTTTAAAAGTAAAATAATAAACTGTACCAACTCAATAATTATTTTAATTATTTTCTAATATATATTTATCAATATACATGTAAATTAAGAAGTATATAAAAATTATACATTTTTATGTGAAAATATAATGAATTTTGAAATTTCAAAATTTTAAAATAATATTTGAATATTTAATACTTAATATATTATGAAATGAAAAAGATATTTGATATAAGCTTTTTTCTAAAAAACATTATTATTATTATTATTTATTTTTTATATTATTTTAAAAATAATTTATATATTTAAAATATTATATCAATATTATTTTATATTGTATAAATAATTATTTAAATTCAACTTTTATCATTTAAAATTAAAAAAAAAAAGAAAAAAGAAAAACATCCATTCACACCTCTCTCTCTCTCTCTCTCTCTATATATATATATATATATATTACACGTGTGTCTATATGAATGTCTACATAAACCCCTTCACAAAGTGAACCACATCCAAAAACCAAACAACCCTCTCTCACTCTAAAACCACAATGCCAAACCTCAACACTTTCTCACTCCTCTTCTTCTTCACATATCATGTCACACTTTACTGTTACGCAGTTGATGATTTCATCAAAATCGAATGCCAAGCCACCCCCTACCCCCCTCTATGCATCCGCTCTCTCTCCGCCTGCTCCGCCGCCATCCACCGGAGCCCCGACCGCCTCGTCGCCACCGCTCTTTCAATCTCCTTATCTCAGGCGCAATCCGTCGCTCGCTTCGTCTCGACTAAATCTACCCTCAGGGGCCTTAAATTGACAGAGCGTCGGGTACTGTACGATTGTACGGGTAATATGGTGAACACTGTTGACCAGCTCGGCCGCGCCATTAAAGAGCTCGCCGGTTTGCCTATGGACTTCGGCCGGCGAGTGAAAAATATCGAGTCTTGGGTTGCCGCGGCCGTGACATTCCACTACACGTGCCTCGATGGATTTTCGAGCCTTTCTGTGGGTGGAAATGTCGCGGTTGTTGTAAGGGAAAGAGTGCTCGATTGCGCGCATGTTGCGAGCAATTCTCTCGCTTTGGTTCGTCGTTTCGCGGCGAGGCGTGGGGTGGGAAGTTCGGTCGGGCGAGAAAATGTCCCTTAGAGTCGGAAACTCGGATTTTAATCTTGTAAATTATTGTATATTTGTCTTGAAGTTTAAATTTTGCGTATCTCTAATTTAATTTTTCAAAGATAAAAAGAAAAAATAGTCATGTTTAAGATTTAAGTTACGACACGAGAAAGTATTGTACTTCCTCCGTCCCATAAGTATCCGTTTGTTTTTTACGTAGTTTTAGAAATATTAATATTATATTAAAATATAGTAGGAATAAAATAGAAATGACTAAAATAACCTTATTAGTATGTATGATATAAAGGTAATGACATTTGTGTAATATATTGTAAGTTGTAAGGGTATTTGTAATGTTAGGTAGATAGTACAATTACTAAAAAAAAAGAAATGGATACTTTAATATGAGACGGACTAAAATTGAAAAATGGATACTTTGTTATGGGACGGAGGAAGTATTATGTATATACGAGGAAGTACATACTTTCTAGTTTTTTAAATTGTCACTTATGTATCGATATGTTTACGTATATAGTTTTCAAAATTAATTTATATTAATTACATATAAAGATATATACCATTTATTTATATTATATAAAATTTATTTTCCTAAAACAATCCATATTAAATATATCAAAATGTAATTTTTAAAAAAATACATGATATATTTTAAATTTATACATTTTTCTATTATAGATCAATTTATAATTAAACAATATTTTTTACTCCCTCCGTCCCATGTATTATGAGCCTATTAATGTACATAAGAGAATTTAGGTAAAGTGTGATTAGTAAGTAATTAAGAAGTATATTAGTAAAAATAATTATGGTATAATAAAAATAATTGTGAATTAAGATTAAGACTAAATAGTTTAATTAAGATTAAAAAAATTATAAAATTTAAAATTTAAAATGAGATTAAAGTGTATAATTATATTTCCAAAAAAGGAATGGACAAATTATGTGGGACAGACGAAAATAGAAAATATGGATAAATTATGTGAGATGGACAAAAATAGAAAATATGGACAAATTATGTGGAACGGAGGGAGTATTTAACTATAAAGCGCAACTTTCAACTACAACTTCGAACCAAATACAATTTAAGATGAATAAATATAAAAGTATCTTTATTTATGTTTAATATATTATGAGTTTTTTTATTTTTAATAATTAATATATTTATTTTTCTAGAAAAGAATAATGCTCTCTTCTTCGTCCCACATAATTTTTTTCCTATTTTTATTTCTGTCCGTTCCACCTAATTTATCATTTTTTATATAAATATAATTATACACTTTACTTATATTTTAAAATTCATAATTTATATTTTTTTTTATTTTAAGTAAACTATTTAGTTATTTTAATTAAATCATAATTATTTTTACTAATATACTTATTAATTAATTATCAATTATATAATACTTAAAACTTCGTGTTCCAACTAAAATGGATAAATTAGTTGAAACGAAAAGAATATATATTACTGAGTGTGTTTATTTTTTGTTTTAAATAAAAATATTATTATTCATTATAAACTGTTTTAAATAGGAAATATATATATATATATTATTTTTTATATAAAATATTATATTAAAAAATTATTTAAATAAAATTTGAAATTACAAATAAACATAGTACCACGAAGAATGGGCTAAAAATCAACACCAACCCAAAGCTTAGTCCATTATTTATTGGACCCATTATTAATTTTATTAATCTTTATATATATATATATATATAAAGAAAATGGTGTAATTGTATATAAATTTGCAAATAAAATAAAATTTTAAAAGAACATATTGTCCATCCAATCAATTCTTTTTTATACAATTTTCATATTATAAATTTTTTTCACAAAAATTGACGATTCAATGTAAAATATTATTTTTTTTTTATAATACCGACATAATTCTCTGTATCCAATAGGCGTACTTTTATCTATTCATTCCAAGGTTTGAGGCCCATCCTAAAATCCAATATTTAAACCTACCCTATATTAACATAATCTTTATTTTGTTGATTTGTTTGAATTGAATTTGAATTTAGTTAACGATTATTTTTTATTTTTTTTAGTTATCAAATTACATATTTGTTTTTTATTTACTATATTAAAGAAAAGAATTTCCATATATCAAATTAAATATTTTAATCCGATTTTTGAACCCTCAAACCTAATCGAAACATAAATCTGGGCAGAATTATATTTTTTGGAAAAATTTGAATTCACAAAAGATTTTAATGCCATTAGAAAATAAAATAAATGAATAAATAAATAAATAAAAATGATCGTTTAAACTTAAAATGATAATTTTATTTTTAACTTAAAATGATATATATTTTTATTATTATTATTATTTTTAACATTTGGTTTTGATTTAATATTTTAACAAATTAAAATCGACGATTGGAATCCTATAAATAAGTTTGAATCTAAATTAATCATCACTCACTGCAGATTTAATAATAATAATAATAATAATAATAAAATTATCTACAAATATCAGCAATAGATTTAATCACTGTTGACACTTCCTGTTTGGGTATTTGGATTTTGAGTTGAGATTTGAACAGTACAAATTTTGAATTTGAATAGTTGTATAATGTGATATAAATAGGAGCTGATATGATGTTTTGAATGTAAAATTGATTTATAGTATAATATAAAAAATGAAAAACAGGTGTTTGATTTGATATTTTTGGGGGAAAAAATTTGATGAATTGTGTAAATCCAATCCAATCCCCCAAACAAACACACCCTTACTATCTCACACGTTTATATAGAAAATGACGTATGGATGATGTCGTAATATAAAATTAAATTTTTATCTAAATAAAAATTAATTTTATACTCTCTTCGTCCGCCCCTACGGGTCACATTTACCTTCTGCTTCATTGTATTAACATTAAAAATATTTTTATATTTGTATATATATTTTTTTTTGTACAAATGTCCTTCTATCAGTATTATAAGACACTAATAGAAGTATTTTTGTAATTTTTTCTTAATCTGTACTACGTTTTAATATAATAATTAATATTCAAAAATTGAATATGAGATCTTTAAAGTCGGACGGAGACAGTATATTTAAAGTGAAATATAAATCATTTAAATAAATAAAAAATTCATATAAATATTTCAATTAGGCCAATATTATAATTACTCCATTCATCATGTCCAAAGTATTTATTTGAATTTTTTATAATAAATTAAAAATAAGACCAAAAATTAATATTGATACCATTTAATACCATAATTATTAATTTTGGTCCAATTGAAATTATTTTTATCAATTTTGGTCTCATTTAAATGAAATTTTATCAATTTTAGTAAATAAAATATAAAGTAAATAATTCAAAATAATATTTTAAATTTTTTTCAATTGGACCAAAATTGATAATTATGGTATTAAATGGTATCAAAATTGATTTTGCTCTCAAAATAATACTCCATCCGTCCACTTACAATGTTTACATATTTCTATTTTAGAACATCCAATTACAAAGTTAATATTTCATTAAATACTTATTTTTTTCCACAAATACCCTTACTTTACATCACATCATTACTTTTACAAAAAAAAGGTAAAGGCAAAAATGTCATTACACTACTTTTAACTACTCACTATAATTAAAATACTGTTATTTCTTAAATACCGCGCCAAAAGTAAATGTAAACTTTGTAAGTAGATAGAGAGAGTAATATATTATTAGTTAGTGGAAATATATAAGATAACTTTGATAATATTGCTCCATTTACTTTATATATAAATTAATTATATATTAATAATATGTTTATAATTTATATAAATATTAAAGATATTTTATTATTAGTATGTTATTAATTTTACTTTCTCTAGTAGAAAATGAATATTTTGTAGTCGTACATACAAAAATAATAATAATAAAATATTTTTAATTAAAAGAAAAAAATATAATATTTCTGCTATCATTTAATTTAAATTAATATTTATTTTTTTTAGATTGTTATAAAAGATATTCTTATCTTATTTTTTAGTAGAAGTCATGCGATAATTATTATTTACATTTATTAAAATTCATATTTAACCAAATGAACATATAATTTAATGACGCAACAAATATATAAATATATATATTTCAATAATTTTTTTCAAACTTAAAGGTAAAATCGAAAAGTCTAATTTAAGTTTGCCAAAAAATACGAAAAGTGATATAGTTAGAATCATTTATTGAGTCAAAATTGATATCAAAAGTGTGAATAAAATCAAAGTAGAATTCGAACAAAATTAGAATAAAAAATAGGACTCAGAAAAAATTATATATTTTCTAAATATATATCTCAAAAGATACTTCACAAATCGCAATACATACAAAATTACATTTTACCTCAAGAATTTACGATGAAATTAAAGTTACTTAAAATATAATTACAATCAATTTATAGTAAAAAGTACCACTAATAAATTCAAATTTACATTTTTACCTTAATTTTTTTTTCTTGAAATTAAAGTTAATCAAATATGATAAAAAAAAAAAAAGGTCATATATCGCACTCATCGTCGCCTTAATAGTTATAAAATCACTATAATGATCATATAAGAATCGTCGATACTTATTTATTTTTCCTTGAAAAAAATTATAATTGAAAAAAAAAATTAAAAAATTAAAAAAATTATTAAATATATTTATAATCAAATTTTAGATTAAAAACAATTTAGCCTGTCATGTCATGTGATGTCAATTTCTTAAAACATTCTCTAGTCTTCAAATGTTTTCAAAAAATGTACCAATCCTTCGAAAATAAACTTCCTAACGGCACCAAAAAATTATCTCAAAAATGGCACTAATTTATTCTATTTTTTAATTATCTTTTTGACAAAAATTATCTTTTTACTTAGAATGTTATAGGTTATGTTTGTTTGGGTTTTATTATTATTATTATTATTATTATTATTATTATTTAGTATCCCTCCGTCGAACTAATTATGCTACAATATTTGAGTACAAAAATTAAAAAATAATAACATTTTAATATAAAAATAGAGTGTAAAAAAGTAAAGTGGGAGTGTTCTAGAAAATTTATTAAATAATTAATAATAAAGTAGTTGGATAATTAAGTAAAAAGAATAGTGACAGATTGATTATTATTTGTTAAAATAAGAGTAATTATATCATGAGTAAGTAAAATTATTTACTATAAATGAATTA